GTATCGCTGTTTAGATAAGCGAGGACGAAGTGCCGGCGGTCTCGCGGCTTGGAGTAACGAGAGCGTCAGCACTCTCGCAGTATGCGTTAGCGAGTGCGATGGGGCCAGCGTTGCTACCAGTTTCGCGGCGCCGAAACGTGAGAGCGGCGGCGGTCTCGCGCCTGGGAAGTGCGAGAGCGAGCGGGTGCCGCGGGCCTATGAAAGCAACGACGGGACGCGCGTTCTCGCACGAAGGTAATGCGAAAGCGCCGCGCAGTCTCGCGCGGTGGGAATGCGATAGCGCCACGCGGCGGTCTCGCGGAATGGGAATGCGATAGTGCACAGCACAGGCTCGCCCCTGCGCCGAACACGAGCGATGTGACAGCGCTGTCGCTTGTCTGATTTGCGAGACCGCGCTTCGCTTTCCAAATTAGCCAGACGGAATCAGTAATGTACTGATTATTAAGTTAATTACAATTTTATATTTGCATGAATTAACAACATGTGATAATAACATTTGTTTTAAGGCTCGTTAGTAAATATATATGAGAAACCTTCTGTATATGTACTAGAAATATAACTACCATTATTTAAACTTTTCATTTGTTAGACACAACATTGGCCATCTATATAAAATAAAAAATCACATGAGCTACAAATTAATTGTAACTTACAATTAGTACAAATTAATTGTAACTTTAATTTAATTTTTTTTACCATATAAATTAATTATGTCTATCTAATTTTTAAACCCGAACCGACTCTAACCCATATAACAGAAACTACCTCTGTTATTATTATCCTACTTAATAATAATATACTATACATTATTAATATTTTATATTTATTAATTTCATATTTTATATTTGTTGTTTGCCCTAAGGACCATGTAGCTTTGCTTCACGGAAGAGGCCGTTGTCTTGTTCAAAATATAAAATTTACCGGTCTCGCAATTCTAACAAGCGATCGAGATCGCTGGCTCCACGCGCGTTGTTGCATTGCTAATGTGCGAAACCGTGCCGGACTAAGCACCAACCAGAAAATCACCATGGGACCCACTCCACAGTGGCTCTCGTGCTACGAAAGCGCGGTGCCGAGGCCGCTCTCGCGCTTCAGGCATGCGAGACCATGGGTCTCACGCACATCTCTCGCGCGCCAGTAATGCCACACCACGGGCCCCACAACGCTACTCCTCTCGCGCATTGAAAAAGCGATACCGATCCCGGTCTCGCGAGGGCAATCAGCGAGACCGTTGGGTCCATTCCTGCTCTCTCTCCCAAATCGCAAGACCGGATTAGGTCATCTCTACGTGGTGCTCTCGCTCAAGGGAAAAGCGATACTGCATCGGTATCGCTTACCCAATAAGCGATACCGGAGCTGACGTCACGCTTTCGCTTATTGATATTGTGATACCGTGTCGGTATCTCTCAATCCTCTTGCGAACCTCGGTATCGCGCTTTCCTCCCGCGATTTCAATAGTATATTTGTGTAAGTCGACCAACATCTGGTATATTTATGAAAAAAATATTTATGAACAGTATATTTTCAAATTTTTTTCAGACAGGAGAAGCATACACACAGGTCACAAGAGACAGGTCGAGGTCTATATCGTGCTTGTGTCGGAGCAGCTTCTTCCCTGCTCCCTGCTTAGCCATATATGCGGGTCGTGCGCGGCTTCCGCCGATGACCGCGCGCAGCGGCTTGGATATGCTACTTTCCTGCGACACCTTCTCCGCCGACGACCGCAGCTGCTTGTCGGAGATACGCGGCACTGACCGCTCAACCCTGCCTTCGCAGTGCCTCTACCGCCGCCGCTCCTGAAAATTAAGGTCAAAACAACCAAGCAATATGGGCTTGCCCCATATAATCATATGCGCTGACGTGGCGAAGGGTTGATGTGGCATCCAACGTATCATCCACGTGTGCAAAAACCATCATAAACAGCCCAAGGGGGTCAAATATCAAATATTGACAGTTCAGAGGGTGTATTATACCCGGTTTCGTAGTTCAGGGGTATATTTTAGACAAGTTAAAAGTTCGAGGGTGTAAAATGGACTTTCCCCAATTTTATATACTAAAACTTTATATCTGGTTCTAATTCGAATCAAGTGATTTTACATATAATAGTTTCATAAAGTTTCTACTTGTAGGTTTATATGTATAAAGTTTCGGCTTGTAAAGTTTACAGTATATACATTGAGTTTGGGTTCATAAACTTAAAAATGAAAAAGAAACCACGCAAATGCAAAAATGGAAAACGAGTGCTTCGTAGGGGTTAGGCGCACGAACATCCACGCGTTAAACCTACCCGTTATTAGCTACACAAACGACATTCATCAACGGATCCACGGAAACGTATCTTTTGAAGGGCTTGTGCGTGTACGCCCGCGTGGACACCCTCCTACTTCAATTTTCATGTGCATGATGTCTGATTTATAGATAAAGCTTTATACATAAAAATTAGGGCATTTACAAATCTGCCACTATTTTTTTTTAATTTTACAAGGATGCTACTTAAATGAAAGTTATAGTGATATTTTTGCAATTTCGTAGTGGTCGTATTATGATAACGATTTAAATTAGTGGCAAATTTACAATTGCCCCCCAAAAATACATGTATAAAGTTTCTACATATAAAGTTGTTGAAAGCATGTCACGAGGGCCTTCGACCGAGGCTGCCGAAACCAGATGGGCTTGGGTGAAACGCCAGCTGAGAAGACTAAGGTTTTCGCCTCGAACGTCTTCGCCACTGAACCAAAGAAGTTATAAGGCTTAAAATGGCCTTTCGCCACTTGAGGGCCCATAGTGAAGCCCATTAAGGGGCCCAAGGCAAAATAGATATTAGACACTAGTTACCCTCATAAATGTTCATGTACACATTAACTCTAGGACTAGGATGCATGAGCTTCTACTAAGACTATAAATAACCCCCTAGGGGCATGAAATGGAGGATCCCAATAATTTTCATCATTAATACATATTGTTGTCGAAACGACAACCGCATACGTCGAAAGACGTGGTTACTCAACAGTGGTTGGAAAACAGTAAAGTGTATTAAATTAAGAATTTTTCTCGGGATCCCCCTATTACATGGCCCTAGGGGGCTATTTATAGCCCCATTACAGATTCCCACTACTAGGGTTTAGGTTATACAGGGGAATTTACATGGTTACCCTTATGATAGGGACATTATGAAGGGCACATTGTGTCCTTTACACACACACGGGCCCCTACTGGGCCTAAACAGCTCGGCCTATCTATCTTGCGAAATCCCCCGAGGGCATAGCGGCCCGCCAAGTCTCCCGTTAACGGGTTTTGGTGCTATGGCGAAACCTGTGCCCGTGTGCCGAGGCTTTCGCCACATCATCTTCGCTCGTTCCGCCTTCTGTCGAGAACTCCACTTGACGAAGGTGGTGTTACCCACAATCACGGCTTTCGCCCATATGGCTTCGCTCTTGTCCTTTGGTGTGAGCCTGATACTTGAACTTTTCGGTTTCGGCAGGTTCGGCCGAAGGCCTTCCATGGCAAGCCTCCAACACATATGCTTTACTTTTCCACTGTGTGAACCACGTCCTTCGACATGAGCAGTTGTAATTCGACAACAAAGTTCATATGAATAATTGAGATGTGTATAAACTTGATAAAAAAAATCATGTGGATGCAAATAAGGAAAACGAGTGTTCAACAGACCAAACGCGTGAACATTCACGTGTTAGACCCAGGGTTTACGATTCCGAGATGGCTTTCCGTTTTAGGCTCTAGTGGAATGACGGTTTTCGCGAAATCTGGTGGAGAGCCGATAAATTCCGAACAAATTTCATAAACCAAAATTTAAATATAAATTCCCTGATTTTACCGATAAGCTCACAAAAACCGGTCGGCTTTGACAAAATTCTGAGCGAAATCATCAAAATTTCAATCGGTAACTAGAAAAAGAGGTAAACTGAAATTGTTTTCCTTTTTTAATTCATTATTCTTTTCTTTCCTATTGTAAATTTCAGTAAATACACGAAATACATTAATTTTTTTCAAAAATTTATATCCCAATAGGTTCTATGAATATCATACTATTTATTAGTTTTTTTATTTTTTTTTCTTTTTTATCAATTCAAATTTGAATTTGGATGAAACTTATCGAAATCTCAAACGGCTTTTATTTTCGAGCCTTGTCGAAACCTTTAAATTTCGCAGAATTCGACTGGTTTTCGTCAGAGTTGTGAACCCTACTTAGACATACCTGTTAGTAGGGGTGAAAACGGTACAGAAACGGACGGAAACCATCTTTATCGTTTTCGTTTTCATATTTTATTCGGAATCGGAATCGGAAACCCCGGATACGAAAATGGAATCGAATATTATCGAAACTGAAAACGGAGCGAAAACAAACCGGCGCGAATACGGTAACGAAAATTTATCGGAATAAAAACTCCCTCAAACTGATAAATCCAATTGAATAAATTATGTATGTTTAAAAGAGTAATGTTGTTGATAAATCCCCATGTAGGACAAAAAAATATTCTTATGTAATTTTAGTTTGCATAACAAATATTTTTTTAAAAAAAATAGCCAAACACCATGGTATTCACTATTCAGTGCTTAAAAAAAGAATCCAGGGTATTTCTTTCACAAAATTTCTGGTAATTCCGAGAAAATTTCCGACCGATTCCGAGTTCCGACAGAAACTGCCCTTATCATTTCCGATTCCGTTTCCGAGAAAATATTTCCGAATTTATTTCCGTTTCCGAAAAAATTCCGACCGACATATTCCGTTTTCGAAAAATAGGTTCGAATCCGGAAAGTTTCCGTACCGTTTTCACCCCTACCTGTTAGATGTTGCATAATCGAAAGCTACGGATGGATCCATAGGCTAAGCCAGAATCATTTCAAGTATCTCACACTCTCACGCGCGTGCATGATCTAGACGCGCGAACGCCCGTCCGTTAAACCCACTCACCGCCATGTGCGGCATATGCCTGAGTGCGAAGCATAGTCGCATGACGACCTACAGGGCTACAACTCCCAGTCCCAGCACTTTGCCGAGAAAAAAAAGAAAAGACCCAAACCGCCCATGACCCCGCGTCTCCGCCACATCGTGACACCGGACACCGGTGCTATGCACCACGAGAGCACGAGAAGAGACGCGCGGGTACAACTACATTCCACACGCGACTACTAGCTAATAGCAAAGCAGCAGTAAGTAACACGTTACACCGGCATCCCCCCAGGCCCCAACCCGTCAAAGCATAAGCCCACACAGCGGGAGAAACACTCGGCGGCGACCGGCCGTCGCGGCCTCGCCGGGAAGAGCAGGTTAATTAGCGGCCGCTCGATCGACGATATGGGGGGCAGCCTGGTGTCCATGCTGCGGTGGCCGCCGGACCTCGGCGTGCCGAGCCTGGCGGCGCTGCTGCCGTCGTCGGCGGCCGGCCACTACGCGGGCGCGCCGGCCCTCCGCGGGTGGCACTGGCAGCACTGGTGGCCGGAGCGGCTCGGCTCGGCGGTGCGGCGGTGGCCGGAGCTCGTGCAGGACTTTTCCCCCGTCGTGGACGCCGTGCTCTGGGGCCTCGTCACCGCCATCGAGTCCGTCGCGCTCTTCTCCATGGTGTGCTGCTTCTTCCTCTTCTGCGGCTGCACGCTATGATCGGTGCCACTCCCCCACCATATAGGGCGCGCGTACGTACGTACGTATGCATAATTGTATATGATCGCTTCCTAGCTCTGCTCTGAATCTCCCAACTGTTTTTGATTGATTTTTTTTTTCAGATGATTCTCCATTTTGTTGTCGGTTATTCACTGTGTTCATGCTTCATGGCAAATTAATTTAGATGCCGCTAATTGTATTGTACTGGTGCTTAGTGCGTAGATTTGTTACTGGATTTTGCTTGTCTGATGTATGTGCAGAGCAGTGAGGCAGAAGAACAGCAAGCACCATTGATAGTTTTGGGTGATGAAATGTTTGGGGAGAGGGATTGAGTGAGATTCGGTTGGACTAGTTGGTGCGGGTGCGCGGTCGGAACGGGGGTGAGTCCAACCCTCGAAATATCTTATGATTTTCTTAATCGTGGCGAGTCCATGAAACTACTATTTCCTACCTGATTATACTCGTCATAAAAATATAACAAAATAACTTCGACCACTATATTTTTTATTATAATATATAAAAATATTAATAACTGTATTAAAATATCAATAACTGTATTATGATTTTATGGAAGTAATTTTTAATCATCATATTTTATAAATATTTTAGATGTTATTTATAGTCAAAGTTTTTAAAGTTTAACAATAGTCTGATATGACAAATATTATTAACTGAGGAATATATAAAATTCTTTTTTTACTCCCTTGTCTCATATAAGTGCACTTACTCACTCCGTCACTTAAGAAAACTAACCTACCGGAAGTAACACATATTTTTAGATTAATAGTATCATAACATGTCACATCCAATTATATATTTGTTATTTAAGATTGAAGGAATATTATAGGATATGATTGAATTGTTCAGATTTATAGTACACACGTAGTACTAGGGTATTGGAAGTTTGGAACTGAAGGTGTAGTTAATACCAGTAGGCAGTAGCTGTTGTAGACAGTGCACTGATGAGTCGCTGATTGCATGTCACGTTTCGGTGTTGTCGTTCTGTCCTAGGACCTCGTGAAGCGCCACTGTTGCAGTCAGGACCATTTACAGGTTAAAACCATGATCCGATGACTGACCAAAATCCGGCTTCATTCCTACTAACACGGCCCTTTTGTTCAGAGAGCTGTGATGCTTTCGGACGTCGCATAACACGGCCTGGCTTCAACAGGCAATTTGGCGGCATCAACGTGTGTATAACTGTATATGCTCATAAAAGATTATCTACGCTTTGAAATTTATTTCGACTGTTACCGTAGAGTGTTCGAATGAAATGGTGTCTTTCTGAAGCTAATGAGCGAACCGCCACAATTTAAGATGACAAATTTTACTATAGGAAATCGTCGGTTTTAGCTAAACTCGTCGGACGAAGCGTCGCCTTCCTCTGCTGCCCACGCGCTGCTTCCCATCGACGGCGATGACCCCCATGGCACCAACGGACGGGATAGAGAGAGAAAAGAGATGAAAGAACTGACATGTGGATCCAGGGGGTAATTTTAAGAGTAATTTTAATATTTCAAGTGATTTTTCGCTCCTCTCCAACCAGAAATTATTATTTTAATAGGTGCGATGTCCACTGTCAAATTACCACGTTTATAGAGTATTTACTCCTAAAAGTCACTTTGTGTTGTGTTTTACAATTAAAATCGTGAAGTAACGATATACTGTAGAAAAATTTACCATTTGAGATAGCTTCGACACTTGATGTGTCGAGTATCCCCGCAAGATTACATAATTCTCTTTTATTACTAGTATTTTATAAACAGACTCCTAATATCTTCTCTGGATAACGAAATCCTTTTTATTAAGTAGGTATTTTAAACAGCCTCCTAATATCTTCTGTGGATATCTGCTGCTCGCAATGGCAACGTTTATTAATGAGATTGAGGGCATGTTTACTTTGATGAAAAAAACCTTATTAAATTTTAGTAATTTTGGCATAATTGCCTGCCAAAATTTTGGCAATTTGACAGCAAACTAAATATATCCACTTTTTTAATAAATTTATCAAAATTTGATAATGTTGAAAATGACATTAAAATGAAAAGGCCTGAGTAAGCGAGAGCTCAACAACTGAACAGCAGACAGACGTTAGCCCCCATTGCCCCACGTGTAGCAGCACCAAAGCGCGCCAGTAGAGAGTCGCCCCGGCTCTCGTCCACACAATGATACAAACAAAACTAAAAACGACCCGTCCGCTCGACACCTCGTGCTGCGCGGACGAAAAACAACGGAGCCCGTCGGTCCCGGTCAGCCATCTTATTTTGAGCGGCTGACGCGTGGGTCCTACAGTTTGTGATCTTTATATACGAATAACCCACGTTAGAGGGCAGTAGTACATGAGAACAGATAAACTCATATCCCCTTTAATTCAAAGAAAATTTATAGGAATTCAGAGGATTTTATTCTTATAGAAAATTTTCCAACATAGCCCTTTGAATCGAAGTAATGAACCCTATGAAATCGTATGGAATTCCTATGGAATGCCACTTCTATACGAGTTTTGAAGGAAATTTAACGTGAGGTAGGACCTCATGAAAATAATCCCTTGAGTTTTTATCTCTTCTCAAATTCTTATGGTTTTTCCTACATCCAAATCAAACGGTCATTCCTATATTTTTGTGTTACAATAATTTGTTTTACACTTGCATTTATGTTAGAATCCTATTTTTTTATTTCTCTTTTTTTATTCCTGTGATTTAAAGGGTTGAGAATATTATGTTAGAATCCTATTTTTTTTTATTTTTTTTTCCTGTGATTCGAAGGGTTCTTATTATTCTCAGGTGGGAGAGTGTGACGTGGTCGCTCTTGTCTCTCACGTGCCAGGATTGTAAGCTGCAGCGCCGGAGCCGGAGCTTAACGCCATTTGGTTGGTTGGTCCGGTCGCGAGAAGAATTTACCGCGCGCGGTGTTCCGTCCGTGCCGTGCACCACGAATCCGTTCTCAGCGAGGGTCGGATAAGGACGAGCATCCCGGGCTTCCTTCTTTCTTTGAGCGTCTACGGTTAAAACTCCTCTACTCGAAGGGTCACTGTCGCCTGTTATTGCCTTGCAAACGTAACCACGTTTTTCGGACGAATCAAAACTCAGCAGAATATGATATGCGGTCTCAATTTCGTAGCCTGCTCGATGCAAAGGCGAATGCTGCATTAATGAAGACTGTAGCAAGGCCACTTGCGATTGAAAAAGACAGGCGAGCAAGATTTATCCTGCTTCTGATTTTATTCCGAAACACGCATGGCACAAATTCCACGGATGCATTTTGCGTGCATCCAAAAGCCTTTCAATCAGCACAGCTGAATTAGCGTAACCGGAAGTTGTTAAAGGTCAGGACACAATTCGGTGTTCACCCTCAGCTTTGAAGATTTTCGCCCGTTATTCTTCCTGTCCTGGTAAAAAATTTGGGGGGATTACCGAGTTCCGGAACGGGTGCTCACTCGATCTTAAATCCAGATTTTAGATCAACCACCTCTTCGATATTTCTAGCCAAAAATTCTGCCTCTCCGATATAAGAATGTGGTGTTAGCTTCAGAAGCGACGATCGTGCCGCCTCTGGCAAGTCTAGATCTTCAATGAATTGCCGTATGCTGTCCTTGGTGACAGCCTGCCCTCTGGTCATTTCCTTCAGCTTCTCATAAGGTTCAGGGATTCCATACCTTCGCATCACCTACAAAGATGATATAATAATGTATGATATGCATCTGAGCTTGAAAGACGACAGACAAATGATGATGAATACAGTTGATGTATCTGGTGAAAATGCCAATAGGTGAAATTACCCCCAATATCAAACTTATAAGTTCTGAGAAATTTTCAAAATATTGTACGATGTAGGAGAATATGTCGTTTTCGAACCAAACAAAAGCAATTAAACTAACCATTCTCAGTATCAAAATTCACCATGAATACACCTGGCTAAAAACGTAAAAATCCTACCTAACAAAGCATTAAGGGCAATGCAAAATCACAAAACAAGCATCCAAAAGACACTTTCGACAATTTGAAAGCATCTGAAGAGGCGCACAAATTTCTAGGACAAACCAATACAACTCCTCCATGGAAGCATACCATTGTGAAAACAACCAGAAACCATATAGAGGACAAAAAGAATGGTCTTACTGTCTGTATTGGCTCTGCAAGGACCTCCCATGTTTGATCCAAGTCTTCAGATAACCGGGATTCATTCACCTAACAACAGGCAAAATTCAGCATAAATACAACGAAGTGTCATAGTTACATTTTGGCTAGTAAACTTAACAAAGTTAAGGTCAATTACAAAACAGACTAAATGTCTAAAATTCCAATAGTCCGAAAATGAAATTATGTGTAGTGCACAAAGGAATATCTTGTTTCTAGTACGACAGATACCCTGACTGAGGTCCTTCCTGTGCATATTGAGTAGATACAAATAATAGTTGGGGTAAGACCTAGCCACATCCATCACTTTATAGTTCACTTAGTCCAAAAACATAAAGTGTGGGTGGGTGGATGTGCATGCTTGGGCATCAACCATTCAGCATCACAGCATGCATAGAAAGACTTCAAATACAAAATATGCTAGTTCAATACTTGGACAATGATAAAATTATCTATACAAGAATAATTCAAGAAACAACCAAATCAAACAAGAGGAGGATTGTGGCCACCTACCTGAACCTTATTGATTCCTCGCAATGTAGCTTTGTAAGCCAAGAGTGAATGCCCTAATCCAACACCCAAATTTCTCAAAACAGTCGAGTCTGTGAGATCACGCTGACAGAGAGACATGGTTGCTCATTAGTTCAATCTTAAGTAAATAGTTAGGCATGTCTGACTGCTTGCTGTATTTTACATCAGTGGCAAGCTACAATTTTTGCATGCACATTGGTTGACCAAAATTGCGGTTGCATTGAAAAATGAGGTAAGAAAGCATTAAATTGTGCAGAGGTAAGAAAGTGTAGCGTGTGCCACGAGTTCGACAGAAATCCATGGACTATAGCCTAATAAAGCCAAACTTAAGAACACCATTTGTGGCAAGTTAGGCGTCTGTTCTTGCATGTGCATCAACAATGGATGATGTACTACCCCTTTTTCACAACTGGAGATAGTAAAAGTGGAAATTGAAGAGTACAGACAGTATTATACCTGCATCCGAGAAATTGGTAGCTTCATGCTTAAAGAAGACAATGTACCATTGGCTATAGTCAAATTGCCGTCACTATTTTCGAAATCAATGGGATTGACTTTGTGAGGCATTGTGGAAGATCCAACTTCACCAGCCTTTACTATCTGGAACAACATTTGGAAGGATGCAGTAAGTTCAAACAGAATCTAAAACTGTAGACCACTAAGTTTTTCCCACTATGTACTAAACGAATTCAACCAAACCTTAAAGAACAGTCCTTGCATGTTAGTATTACCTGCTTGAAGTAGCCTAGTGATATATAGGTCCACATGTCTCTATCGAAATCAGTCAAGACATTGTTAAACTGAACAAATAGATTGAAGAGCTTCGAGATATAGTCATGTGGCTCAATCTGTAAAAAAAAGTTAAAACTGCGTCAGACCAAAGAGTATCATATGACTTTAGAATTTACAGCGCAGTTAGATAAATGGAAAGTGTATTAATAGGAAATTCTCCACACCACCATAGTTCAAGAATAATAACTCCAATAAAGCACTGAACTGGGAATACAAATGAAACAACTGGATATCAAAATAATGAATATAAACCACCTGGGTAACATAAGGATTGAACTCCAAGCCCAACGATTTGACAAAATCTTCTGCAACCTTAGGCCAGTCAACTTCTGGATATGCAACAACATCAGCGTTGTAATTTCCGACAGCTCCAGCGAATTTCCCTAGTATCTTGACCTCAGAAAAACTATTTCCTATGCTTGACAATCTGGCCGCAAAATTCGCCATCTCTTTTCCCAGAGTTGTTGGCGATGCTGGCTACAAGCAGGAAAGTGGAAATCTAAGCTAGCGTTATAACTTCTAAGCATATAGCATCGATTACAGTGACTCTGTGTACATATGTACGACAGTACAAGCATATATTACTGAGTATACTTCAGAGGTGGTTCTCGTACCTGTCCATGAGTTCGCGACAGCATAGGGATGGTTGAATTTTGTGTTGCCAAGGAGCACATTGCTTTGCATATGTCCATCATAACAGGGAACATAACTGTATTTACCCCCTCTTTTAGAGCTAATGCATGTGACAAGTTGTTGATATCTTCAGAAGTACATCCAAAATGGAAGAACTCCAACACCTGGGGACAAAGATACACTCAACAGCTAGCAACGAAGTAATAGTATGTTCAGGTATTGGTTCACACAGAAGGCTGACATACCTTTGCAATCTCTGGATTTGAGCTGCATTTTTGCTTGAGAAAGTACTCAACAGCCTTCACATCATGGTTGGTTGTTTTCTCAATCTTTTTCACTTCTTTTGCATCAGCAACACTGAAATCCTGGATAATCGCATCCAGGAATAACTGGGCCTCCTTGCTGAATGGAGGCACCTCATTGATCTCAGGGATTTGGGAGAG